TTTTTTAGATTTAAGACAGGGGTCTTCAAACCTGGCCCTTTTATGACTTGTGGACCTCAACTCCCAGAATTCCTCAGCCAGCCTCCATTTTGTTTGTTAGATTTAAGACAGGGGTCTTCAAACTTGGCCCTTTTATGACTTGTGAACTTCAACTCCCAGAATTCCTCAGCCAGCGTGCCTGGCTGAGGAACTCTGGAAGTCCACAAGTCATAAAAGGGCCAAGTTTGAAGACCCCTGCACTAAAGGACCATTGTAAATTGAGGTCTACTGTAAATACAAATACATATATTCTACTTTCTGCATTTTCTTGGCTAGTTCTGGAAAACATTATTGAAAAAGAGAAGAGGTGTGAAATGATGAGGATGCTCCTCAGACCATGGGCTGTATGTTATCTTCCCAGTTTCCTGCATTTCTTCTCTTGGTGTTTGCGATTCCTTTTTGGAGGGTGTTCTTTACTGCTCTTCCATCAGTTCCTCTTACCGTACATATCAAAGGAGTTGCAGAGCTGGAGACGGGAGCTTCAATATGAGCGATCTCCAAGTGAACAAGAGCCCAGAGCCTCCCGTTGGATGTGCCGCCTTTTAAGTTGCCTTAGAAACTAAATGCATTTTAAAGCAATGTCATCTAAACACTGGCAGGCGATAAATCTCTCCCTCCCACATCGTGGTGAACTGCTGCTTCCATTCCCACCTTCTGAGAAAGGTTAGCAGATTGCTACGTCTGCTTTGTCCGATAAAAAAAAAGCAATTCAAAAGATACACTGACTACATTAAAGTTTGTTGTGGCTGTTCCGGAGAAAAGAGTGTTAAAAGTTATGTCCTTTAGACAGAATCTAATTCTAGGCTTCGGTTTGGTCTGAGCATGGATGGACGACAGAGGATCTCTAATGCCAGGCTGCTTTCCTAAGTGCCTTGGAGCCCATTTTGTAGGCAACCTTCTAGAGAACTTCTTGTGATCTTCTCCTACTCTGAACCTGGACCAAAGGTTCACGCTTGGGGTGAGGGTGGCTGTCCTGGTGACAGTCAATGGATTTAGGGCAAAGAAATGGGAAAAAAGATCCATTTCTTACTCTTTGTGGATTCTGTCATACTACGAAAGGGGAGGAGGGAGCAAGGGGGTTTATGACTCTCACTTCCTTCATTTAAACTACAAAGGACTGGATGTGATTCTTATCAAGAGGACTGACCATAACAATATGGCCATAGCCTTTCATCTACTATCTCTCTGAAGTCTCCCTTCTGCCGGCAATGAGGAAAAAGGGGTGGAAATGTAACGCCTGGGATCATCGTCGCTGGAAGGACGGTGGGGTGGGGGCTGCTTGGGAACACTTAAAACATTGAATGGTAAGGGTTGGACCCTCAGATCCTGTCTAGAACGCCTGCATCCATCTTCTCTTAATAAAGATGCCTGTTGGAAGAGATATTCCAAGAGTTCTGTCTTCTTAAGATGTAAAGTGGGGTGGGTCCTTACAGACTTGCTGTTGCTTCAGAAGCCTGCTTTTGGAAAAGCACCTTTGGGACAACCGTGACCTGCATGATTGAGACTCTCCATAGATGTTTCTCCTCCCATGTCTTTTTAGAAAGCGGTCAAACCCAGATTTTTCTAAGGGGCCTTCAGAACAGGAGATGCAACTGAGTTGAAAACAGCCGACCCAGGAAGGAAATAGTTACTTAGTTCAGAGATATTTGGCTTTCCTTAACTGACTTTAATGTTACTGTTTCGTTACTGTATGTGACTCTTTCCTTTTTGTCAAACAACCCAGAGTCTTACGGAGGCACATCTGAAGAAGTGTAGAAAGAAGTAACACTGACATTTCATGAAAACAACATTGACCACGTTTAGATGATCCCTTCCTGTCTGTTTAATCATTTTCCCCATCTGGCACATAAAAATTAGAATTTGGCATGATTAAAAGAATCCTCCCTGCAAGACATTGTGGGAGGATCACACACCTCTGCAGTGGAAAAACCCTTTATAAAAGAAGCAGGATTTGCCACTGATGGAGCTTAAAACAAGGGCTGTTTCTCTCTTATTTGGCCTCTCATTTTAAGAAGGAAAAATAATGCTCCTTTAGAAAGCAGCAGATTGAGGAAGATGAATAGCGGTTTGTTTTTCCTTTATTCCCCCAATATTAAAAGATCTCCCACTAGAAAATTCTATCCCTCCATCTGCTTTGATCTAATAAACTTTATGAATCCGTAGCTGAGCTTTCATTTTTCTCATTGGTAAAGTAAACTTTTACAACGAAGCCTCATATTAAACACTGAAGTCAACAACTACCCAGCTTCCGCTTAAGCTTCTAGTCCTTATGGTTTTAAATATTAACATGAAGAAATGGCCAGTGAAGACCATGTTAGAAATCAAATTTAAAATGCGAGTTGTGACTTTCACAGTCTTGATAGTTCCCCCCCCCCCCCAGGTTTCACATCTTAAAAACCATTGAAAGGCTCTCCTTGGCTCAAAGTGCAGAGAAGCCTTTCTCTCTTGTGTTTGTGTACATTTTGCAAAAAGCAACAATGGTATTATTAAAATGCCTATTTTTTTTCTTTTTGCTTTGTCCCACTGATACTGGGAGATGGTTAAACATCTAAACCAGCGGTTCTCAACCTATGGGTTGCGACCCCATTTGGGGTCAATCGACCATTTCACGGGGGTCGCCAAGCAAGGCTGTCCGCCATTTTTTTCCCCTTTTCCGGCGGGTGCCTTATCTCCCTTGGACTGGGCCAGCTGGTGGTCGGCCTGCTCCATCTCTGCCGCTTGCCAGCTACGCCTCGGCCAGTGCAGGGGGCGGAACCACGCATGTGCGGCGCTCCCGGGCAGGGAAAGTCCTCGACTTACGACCGGTTGGGTAGTCCTCGACTTACGACCGGTTTAGTCCTCGACTTACGACCGGTTTAGTCCTTGACTTACGACCGGTTGGAGGTCGCGGCATTAAAAAGGTTGAGAACCACTGATCTAAACATTGTAGAGCAGGGGTCTTCAAACTTGGCAACTTTAAGACTTATGGACTTCAACTCCCTGAGAAGCAAAGACGATGGTGGAAGCCAGATTTGCTTAACAACCTCATGATTCACTTAACCCAGGGGTGTCAAACTCAATTTCATTAAGGGCCGCATCAGCATTGCGGTTGCCCTCAGGGGGCCGGGTGGGTGTGGCCAGGGTGGGTGAGGCCTACTGGGTGGGCGTGGATGGAGTGGGTGTGGCCTACTGGGTGGGCATGGCCAGCTTTACATCGTTCGTGTCAAGTGGGCTTGTGGGGGCCGGGGCAGGAGTGGGACACTTCTGAGGGTCTCTGGCAGAAGGGGATGGGACCAGGGCAAGTGCCAAGGCATGGTCCACTGGAGGAGCCTCACTGTTCCTCTCAGGCCATGCGGGTGGGGGGACTTATGGAGCTAAGACTGAATGCGTTTCAGCATAGATGGCCACCACAAAATTGTACATTGGCTCCCGTCCGGCCTGGGCCAGGCCAAGGCAGTGGGGGCCATTCCCTCACTGTTTCCAGGATGGCTTCGCGGGCCACATGAAACCACTTCGCGGGCCGCATCTGTGTTTGACATGTCTGACTTAACAGCTCCAGTGATTCGCTTAATAACCGTGGCAAAAAAAATGTCTACGGAGATTCTCCGCCATCCAGGTCATGGTTATTCCAAAGGTGCTTTTTTAAAAGGCAACTGGACTTTCTTGGTTTTTTTTTCCCTTGAAGATGTTTTGCCTGGCAAAAAGGTAGTAAAGTCAAGCATGATTCCCTTACTGCCTTATCAATGTAAATTCGGGTGGAAATTGTGATTTGTAAGTTGACTACACAAAAACAAGGTCCAGTTCCAAGTTTCTTTCTCATGCTTGCTTCTACCTCTGGATCGTACAGTTGCTTCTCCTTAATGGCTTTTTGGTATCTTTTGATACTTTTNTTGCCTGGCAAAAAGGTAGTAAAGTCAAGCATGATTCCCTTACTGCCTTATCAATGTAAATTCGGGTGGAAATTGTGATTTGTAAGTTGACTACACAAAAACAAGGTCCAGTTCCAAGTTTCTTTCTCATGCTTGCTTCTACCTCTGGATCGTACAGTTGCTTCTCCTTAATGGCTTTTTGGTATCTTTTGATACTTTTTTTGAGATCAGCTCTACGTTCCTGATCAATAGGAACCTCTTAGTATTGGTTGGCTGATTTTTGAACCAATGGGTAGGCTTTCTGTTGGGGCAATAGGAGATCCCCATGTGTCAGTCTCCGATTCTCGGTAAATGCATGTGAATGTGAACGGGTTATCCAGATAATCATCCCAGACCTAGCTAGAAAAGGTCATGTTTAGAATTTTAAATGACACTTTAATAAGGAAAACAGGAAAATCAATAGGCAGCCAATTGCAGTGGCACTCTAAGCATTATATATGTTGTGGCTGCTCAGCTCCCACACTTGAACAGCTGTGTTTCCAAATCATTTCAAGGCAGCTTCCCGTCAAACACATTTTTGTGATCAAGAATGTTTGTGGCTGCCTAATGTCCTCCTCATAACGAGAACAGAAGAGATTATTTTTAAGGCAGGGATGTTTAATCTGAACACGCCGTGGGAGCAGCTGACAAAAGAAATTGGAATTGTATTTTTAAATGATCTTTCTAGCGCAAGGGTGAGGCGCCATTATTGCTGATTTGCCTGGGAAGCTTTAATGTAGGAATTTTTATGAATTTTCCTTGAAAATGATGAAGTGTGTGTCATGTCAGTGTGTGGTTAGCTGAAAGGATGTTGGTAATTTTCTTCGCCTTGCTGATTTCTTAATATCTTTTCTCTTTTCCTTTGTCTCTTTTGTTTCTTTCTCTCCTTTCTCTCCTTTCTCTTCCTCCTCCTCTTCCTCCTCCTCTTCCTTCTCCTATTTTTCCTTCTCTTCCTCTTTCTGCTCCTTCCTTCCTTCCTTCCTTCCTTCCTTCCTTCCTCCCTCCCTCCCTCCCTCCCTCCTTCCTTCCTTCCTTCCTTCCTTCNTCCTTCCTTCCTTTTCTCAATGTTCACAGGATATCCTACTGTACAGCAGACAAAGTACATGACAAAGTATTTGCCTACATTGCCCAGAGTCAGCACAATGAGAATCTGGAGTGTCACGCTTTTCTCTGTTCCAAGAGGAAAATGGTCAGTATTCAGTGGAAAAGTCAATGATGTCTTTGTTCATTCAAACCACCTCCACAGCGACCCATTGATTCACTTTAACAACCTCAGCAGCCAATGTACGCCGGTGGTGTTTTCTTAACAACCGCCTCAGAAAAAGGTCATAAAATAGGGTCACTGACATGATCAGACCTATTTTACGACTGTCGGGACTCCATTGCAGTTATAAGTTGAGAACTACCTGCACACGGATTTTCATTTGGAGGGGGTTAGGTTTTGTTTGCTTTGCTTTGTGAGAATGCCTTGGTAAGGCCACACTTGGAATAGTGCATCCAGTTTTGGTCACCACGATGTAAAAAGGATGTGGAACCACCTGCCTCCAGAAGCTCTGAATGCTCCAACACTGGAGGTTTTTAAGAAGAGACTGGACAGCCATTTGTCCGAAATGGTATAGGGTTTCCTGCCTGATCAGGGGGTTGGACTACATGACCTCCAAGGTCCCTTCCAACCTTATTATTATTATTATTATTATTATTATTATTATTATTATTATTATTATTATTATTATTATTATTATTATTATTATTATTATTATCAACCCTCACATCGCACTCATAAAAAGACAAAACATCTCCCGAATTTCTAATTTCAGTGCGGCTTTCAAATGTCCTCGACAACTCTCCCAGCAAAAGGTGTCTTCTTCCTTCTCTTTCTTTTTTTCTCCCTAGGACCCCCCCCCCAAAAAAAAGCCTGCTAATTTGACATTACAGAAATATGAAGAGAGGGTGCACGTCTTCAGGGCATGGACTCTGTGTGTCTATTTTTCACATCTCCGGCATATAATTACTCTGTATTTTTAGCGCCTGGGCAATTCACAACATTATCTGGGTCTATTAAACTTGATTTGAATGTGACAGCTGAAATTGTAAACAGCTGTGAAGAGTTTCATACTTAATTACCATATTTAAGGAGTTGGTGGGGTTTTTTTTTCTTTTTCCCCCTGATAAAGTGTTTTGCTCCTCCACCAAAGATTTAAATGGCCCTGACAAAAATCTCTTTTTTCCCTTTCCTGTCACACTAGCACAGGTACAAATTTTGTCTCTGCTTCTAAACAGCCCCATCCTTATGGTTTGTCCAGCATGCCAGCCAGCTAACAGGTGGGAGGTTTTACAGATTGGGATCCTAGTTTCTCATCAACATCACACAACTGGATTTTTTTTGGCTGGTTTACAGCATCCATTAATCTATAAGAAAAGAAAATGTGTGTGCAAAATTCTCTACTTATTTATTTGTCATAACTTTCTTAGCCAGAGCTCCTGCCTCAGAGTGAATTATAGTTCTTGTTCAGGCATCTTGATAAGCCATAATTCTTCTGAACTCTGCCTGGTACATATTCTCCAAATCCACAGTTGTATAATGCTATACAGTATTGCTTTTGCTATATTGCTTTCTGACCAGCTCAAGGTTGACTCAGCCTTCCATCCTTCCGAGGTCGGTAAATTGAGGGACTCAGATTGCTGGGGGCAATAGGCTGACTCTGTAAACAGCCCAGAGAGGGCTGTAGAACAGTATGAAGTGGTATATAAGTCTAAGTGCTATTGCTATTGCTATAAATAGGCATCACTTCGGTGGGAAGATAACAGCCTTGCCTTGTACCTTGGTGTATAGCAGTGATGGCGAACCTTTTAGAGACTGGGTGCCCAAAAACTGGCCCCGCCCCAGCTCCACCCCCTGCCCTGCCCCTGCCCCGCCTGCCTGCAGGGCCACTCACCGCCTCCAGGGCCCACCACAGATCACCCAGGCAGCCCAGCAGCGCCATGGCGGCCATGCCCTCTGCCCATGCCCCGCAGCATCAACTGTGTGCGATGGGGCATGAGGGCAGAGACTTGTCTACGCTGCCTGGCTGCCATGTCCTTGGCTGTGCTGCTCCGCGTGGGCCACGCTCGGGGGCGACTCTCCTCCAGGTGGACTGCTGGTGAGGAGGGGGTCACAGGGGAGGCAAGTCTGGGGCAATGGCACGTGTGCCCACAGAGAGGGCTCCGAGTGCCGCCTCTGGCACCCGTGCCATAGGTTCGCCACCACTGGTGTATAGTCATGCCGGCCACATGACCACGGAAGCATCTTTGGACAATGCTGGCTAAGAAACAGAGATGAGCAGCGCCCCCTAGAGTCAGACACGACTGGACAAGGGAAGCCTTTACCTTTAGTTAACAGCTTTATAGGAGAAAGTTGAGCTCCGATTAGAAGTTAGCAAAATATTTCCTGCATGACAATCTCTATGTTGTGATGCAGCCACATTGCAATTGGAGTTGACATGGCATAAAGGCCGACAGAACAGAAAGAAATGCAGAGAAGGAAATTATAAATTCACATAGTTTTAACTGTGTCAATCCTTGGGCCAACTAATAGAAATGTTTTAATAATAATAATAATAATAATAATAATAATAATAATAATAATAATAATAATAATAATAATAATAATAATAATAATAATGATGGACGTGGCAGTGCCTGGAGACAGCAGAATAGATGAGAAAGAACTGGAGAAGATAACAAAAATACAAAGACCTACAAATAGAAATAGAAAGACTGTGGCAAAGGCAAGCAAGGGTAGTACCAATAGTAACAAGCACCTTGGGTGCAATCCCAAAACAACTGGAGCACCACTTGAACACCATCGGAATTGACAAATTCGCCATTAGTCAATTGCAAAAGGCAGCCTTACTAGGAACTGCTTTCATCCTGCGACGAGATCTGTAATACCATCAAACATCCACATCTGCCTATCCCAGGTCCTTGGTAAGGACTCGATAGGTAGACAAAAATGCCAAATGCCAAATCCAGTCTGAGCATCTGGCTGACTGTGCGAATAATAATAATAATAATGATGATGATGATGATGATGATGATGATGATGATGATGATGATGATGATGATGATGTTGGAAGGCACCTTGGAGGTCATCTAGTCCAACCCCCTGCTCAGGAAGGAAATGTATAGACTTATATACAATCTTATGAAAGGAACAGACTGAGCAAAACCTCAGCTGTGGTTGCATGTTCATAATAACAGAATTGCCCTTTGAACATTTTCCTTAATAGGTTTATTTATTCAAAATATTATTTGCTATGTTTATACAGGTGGTGCTCAACTTACAACTGTAACGGAGCTCGGAATTACAGTTGTAAGTGGTGGTGCTCATAAGTCAAGGCATCACATCTCTGGATTTAAAGTTATGATCACATGACACCAGGGGTGTGCGCGGCCATTGTAACTCCAAAAACAGGTCCTCTTGGGAGGTCAGTCATAACTCCAAACGATTGTTTAATCAACCGGTCATAAGTTGAGGACTACCTTATTCCTCTTTCCATTTTGGGGAGATCTCTCAGTTATGTTGAATTGAGAATTAGGGACTAGAACAAAGTTGTTTCCTTCATATTTGTAATTGTCCTATTTTAACTACTGCATCACGCTGGCTTACATTTAAAGGGGGGGGGGGGATTTTGACAAAAACGAACAGCTTTCTGCATGCAAAGCAATTCTCTATAAACTCCCCCCCCCTATCTCTTCAAAGAAAGGAAGACAAGCCTTCCAGATAATTGTGTGAATTCACCCAAGGGTTCCTGCAGCTGCTTTTGAGTCTCCGTAGCCAAGACTGCCAGCATCACTATTAAATTAAGTTTTAACTGGTGTGGGACTGACAGAGCTATAGAAGGAGGGATGAGCCTCGTGATTTAACATCTCTCCACTCACTTCAGATCTGCAAAAGGAACTGCCTATTGGTGCCCCATTATAATTGCTGTTGTATCTGTTTCCCCCCCCTTCCCTCCCTCCCTCCAGGCCCAAGCCGTCACCCTCACCGTTGCTCAGGCGTTCAAGGTAGCATTTGAATTTTGGCAGGCGTCCAAGGAAGGTGAGTGCTTTGTGATGGCCTCCCTAGAGTCAAATCAGAGGGTTGAGGCCTGCTCTGCTTTTGCTTTTTCACTGTTGTTCTTAACGTTTGAGTTTCTTACGGGTCGTTGTTTATTTCTTTGCGAATGTGTTTAGGACAGGGCTTTTCAACCTTTTCACCCATTGTACCACTTTTAGGATATGGCAACATCTGAGTACCACCAGTCGCTTAGCAAGGTGTCAAAAACTTGATGACCCCCCCAAAAAAGGAAAAAAAGTGATAAAGTACAGGTAGTCCTCGACTTACAACAGTTCGCTTAGTGACTGTTCGAAGTTACAATAGCACTGAAAAAAGGGCCCCCCAAGCCACAGCCGAACAAGATACCTGCCTGCCCACCCGGCAGTGCTCTTCCTCCTGTCTGTGGTTTTCATTGTTGTGAGCATTTCTGTTGAGGACTGGAAGCGGGGGTGGGGTGGGGGGTGTTTGGTTTTTATTCCCCCCCCCCCGTCTGCTGGGTGGTTGCAGCAGGTTTTGGTCACTTGACATGACCCTGGGACACTGTGGCCATCATAAATATGAATCAGTTGCCAAGCATCTGAATGTAAATCACAAGACCCTGGAGATGCTGCAACAACCTGCCTCCAGAAGCGGTGAATGCTCCAACACTGGAAGTTTTTAAGAAGAGACTGGACAGCCATTTGTCCGAAATGGTATAGGGTTTCCTGCCCGAGCAGGGGGTTGGACTAGATGACCTCCAAGGTCCCTTCCAACTTTATTATTATTATTATTATTATTATTATTATTATTATTATTATTATTATTATTATTATTATTATTATTATTATTATTATTATTATTATTATTCCAGCTGATCGGTGCTTCTTCTGGGCTCAGCAGACGCGCCAGGTTCAGTGCCGAGCTCCAGCTGGAGCCTGTTGCTGATCCTGGCGCTTCCTCTGAGCCCCGATAGTCCTGAAGAAGCGCCGATCAGTTGGAAAGCGGCACTGATCCTGGTGCTTCCGCTGAGCCCTTACAGCCCTGCAGCTCCAGCCATCTCTCGCTCAGGCTTGTGCGGTGCTGCCACCGGTTCAGCTCATTCCCCTCCCCCGCTGCCACTTTTCTAGGATGGTGGCGTACCACCTGCCAGGTGCCAATGTACCACAGGTGGTACCCGTACCACTGGTTGAAAAGCCCTGGTTTAGGACACTGCAGAGGAACTCTGTCCATCAACTTGGGACTGTTCTGCTCTTCTTAAGTACAGGTAGTCCTTGACATACGATCTCGATTGAGCCCAACATTTCCATTGTTAAACAAAGAAATCGTTCAGTGAGTTTCACCCCATTTTACCACCTACTTTTGCCCCAGATGTTAAGCGGACCCCTGCAGTTGTTAAGTGAATCATGCAGTCACTAAGCAAGCCTGGCTTCCCTCATTTGACTTTGCTTCTCAGAAGTCAGCTGGGAAGGTTGCAATTGGTGATGACATGACCCCCCAAGACCAGGGGTAGTCAACCTTGGCTCTTTTATGACTCGTGGACTTCAACTCCCAGAATTCCTGAGCCAGCCATGCTGAGGGGAAAGGGAGAGGTTTCCAAGCTGAGCCATGCTGGCTCAGGAATTCTGGGAGTTGAAGTCCACGAGTCATGAAGGGGCTAAGGTTGCCTGCCCCTGCCCAAGACAGAGCAACTGTCATAAATAAATTTGGCCAGTTGCCACGTGCCCAAATTTTGCTGACATGACTGTGGGAATGTGTCAGCGGTCTACAAGTGTGAAAACCATCATCAGTCACTTTTTTCAGTGCGGTTGTAACTGGTCACTAAACAAATGGTTATAAGTCAAGGACTATCTGTATAATTTTGATCCTCAGGATTCTGGTGGGAGATTGCTGAGCGATCGGGGTGCTGCAGAGCCTTCCCCCCCCCCCCCTAATTCCTCCAATCTGGAAATTTATCTCATTTCACCTTTCAGCAGCCCGGCCAATTCTTATCATCTCTTATTTCAATAACCTTGGTTCACACACTAGGTCTAGTATTGTTATGTCTAACTAAGCTCTCATGCACATTCCTCCCCCCAGCCTCATCGAACTCCAACTCTAACTCTAAGAGTAAAACATAAGAAGAAAATGGTTGCATCTCCAGCTGTTCTCAAAGCAAAAACATCCGATGATAGCAGCGTTGACATCCCCCCCCTTACAAAAAGCACAGATCGGATGTTTTTGCTTTGACACCTGGCACCCTGCAACTGTCATAAATACATGCCGGTTGCCAAGTGCCCGGATTTGGACCACACGACCCTGGGGAAACGCCCCGATAGTCATAAGCGTGAGAACTAAGTCACTTTTTTCAGCAGTGTGGTATCTTCAAACGGTCGTTAAATGAATGGTTGCAAATTGAGGACTGCCTGTAACCCTATAGAAGGATTTGCAGTCATTTTAATTCTGATCTTGAAGAGGATGCAGGACAGCAGTAGAAAGTCGTTGCTGCATTTATTCCCAAGTTTTGGCAGGACACACGTAAGGGATACAGGCAGTCCTCGACTTAAGGAGCACAATTGAGCCCAAAATTTAGGTTGTTGAGTGAGACATTTGCTAAGTGAGCTTTGCCCCATTTTGCAACTTTTCTTGCCAGAGTTGTTAAGTGAATCACTCCAGTTGATAAGTTAGTAACCCGGTTGTTAAGTTAAGAATTTGGCTTCCCCCGTTGACTTTGCTTGCCAGAAACTCGCAAAAGGGCATCACACGACCCTGGGACGCTGCAACCGTCATAAATACATGCCAGTTGCCAAGCAGCTGAATTTTGACCACCGGGATGCTGCAGTGCTTGCAAGTGTGAAAAACGACGATGTCATTTTCCCCCCCGTGCCGTTGCAACGTTAAACGGTCACTAAATGAGTGGTTGTAAGTTGAGGACTGCCTGTATCCTTCCTTGCTGCACACGCATAAATGCGCTCCCTCATAGCTATTGAGGAAATGCCTTCAGCCAGGGCTTCTGGCTGGCTGCGGCTTGACCGGCTGGTGCTAATGGAGAGCAGGTTGACAGTAAACCATCTGTCTCTTTGTCAGCGGCGGATTGGCTGGAGCAGCTGCCGGCACGTCGGGCCCCCTTCCAAAATGAATGTAGTTGTGATTAAATGGCTTCCCCAGGCTTGGCATCACGCTGGTAGGGGAAGCCTTCCCTGTTGGCTGCTGTTGTTCAACAATCGCAAAGGCTAAGAGGTTGACGTGTGTCTAGGAGAGAGAGTGGCTTAGACGTCTTTTCCTTCCCGATTCTGCTCCTCCTGTGTCTCTGCCGTTGAGTAGCCCCAAAGGGGCACCCACTCTGCCTATGGAGAGCCCCAGGCCTCCCATGCTGGCCTGGGAATTCTGGGAATTGAAGTCCACAGGTCATAAAGTTGCCATAGTTGCCTAGCCTTGCTCTAAATCTAAGGGGTTTTATGACCCCTACAGGAAAAGAGATTAAACTGTCTGCTCCTTCCACACTAGGGATTGTGGTTATCTCTCATAAACTTCCTAATGTCCCCTACTCGGGTCAAACAGAGCAAAAGGAGCCAGGAAGAAAAATCTCCACCTGGTTTAACTTCTTGTAGGTTATAGTGCAGTTTTGTGGATTGTGGTCTTAAAACTGACTGAGAAACTGATGAGATTTTGTGTCCTTCCCATGACAGAGAAAGAGAAGAGAGACAAAGCCATCTTGGACGGAGAGACCGCCAGCAGCCTAAATTCAGATCCTTCCTCCCCCAAAGCACGTAAGTAAGCAAGGATTCAGTCAAAGGAAAACTTGTTGAATTATACCAAGTTTAATTCGTTCCAAGACCTGGAAAGAAAATAGAATCTAGGAACTACTTTGTTTGGCCAACATACTACATGGATATGTGCTACGTGGGTGTAACTCCCTTTTGTAATCGACGTAGTTTCTGAGGTCTCCTGGTAGATGAGCACATCATCTGTGAATTATAACACAGGGCAGGCTACAGGCATTCCTCGACTAATGACGACAACTGAGTCCAGAATTTCCATTGCTAAGCAAGATGGCTGTTAAATGAGTCGCTCCCCATTTTACAACCTTTTTTGCCACAGTTGTTAAGCAAATCGCTATAGTTAAGTGGATCATGGCTTCCTCCATTGACTTGAAGGTCACAAAAGGTGAGTCACGTGACCCCAGGACAGTGCAACAGTCATAAATACCTGCCAGTTGTCAAGCGCCTGAATTTTGATCACGTGACCATGAGGATGCTGCAGTGGTCGTAAGTGTAGAAAACCAGTCATAGATTACTTTTTTCAGCGCTGTTGTAACTTTGAACAGTCACTAAATCGAGGACTACCTGTACATATTCATTGGATCAGGAATGGCCACCTGCTGCCTCCAATATTCTAGGCTTTAGTGCCTGTTGACCCCAGCCCTCATGATCTGTGGCAAGAGAGTTTGAGAATTATTATCCCAGAGAAATCCCTGCTCTTCTTTATTTGTAAGCCTGATAACAACAACAACAACAATAATAATAATAAAGTTGGAAGGGACCTTGGAGGTCATTGAGTCCAACTCCCTGCTCAGGCAGGAAATCATACACCATTTCGGACAGATGGCTGTCCAGTCTCTTCTTAAAAACTTCCAGTGTTGGAGCACCCACAGCTTCTGGAGGCAGGTTGTTCCACTGGTTAATTGTTCTAACTGTCAGGAAGTTTCTCCTTAGTTCTAGGTTGCTTCTCTCTTTGGTTAGTTTCCATCCGTTGCTTCTTGTCCTGCCTTCAGGCGCTTTGGAGAATAACAGGAGCTGTTTTACGATACTTCTTTGTGCTCACTTCTAGGAGCTGTTTCTTTCTCTCTTTTTTTAAAATTGAAATTTATTATAATATAAAATATAAATAGAAAGAAAGATAATACAGGAATAGGGAAGGGAAGGAGGGGGGGTGCAAGGTAAGAAAGAAAGGGGGGGAAACAATGACTTCCAACCTTTTTTCTGAAATCTTTAGAATTGTCAGCCAGCGTGGCCTTCAGATTAGGAATTCTGGAAAATGTAACCCCACAACTTTGAAGAATAATAGGCTGGAGGAGGTCAAGAAGCTTCTGATCTAAGGCACCTCTCCCAAGTTTTAATTTGTGTAACATCCCAGTTCAAGCATGCATGAAACTAAATTAAAATCTGGTTATAGGGCTAGATGCCTTGAAAGAGGGAGATCTGGATGTAGTTTTGACCAGCATACAAAGAGCTCAAATGAATAAGATATTCGTCTTCACGGATTCTGAGGAGCATATTATTTATTTATGTATGTATTTAAATTTAAATTTAATGCTTGCAGGGCTGAGCATACAAGAACTTGTATGAGCTTAGACTACCACGGTGAGCTGTGGCATTCCTCACTCATTTTTTGAAGTCTGCCCAGATGGGCAAATAGTGACAAACTCTTGAGCATTTGCAATAACCTTTCTGAATTTTTTTTTT